TGTTTCTGTCTGAATTTTTTTTTTTGCAATGTACAGTATTAAACTTTCCTTCTCAAACCCCTATTTTGATGATTGATTGATATACTGTACTTTACAAGCTTTATGTGCTGTTTTTCAGCATAATTCACAAGATTCACAAAAGTTTTCTGCATGCTCCACATATGCATTGGGCACTTTCCACTCTATCAAAAATTAATTAACTGAATAGTGTTGTCTTAGCCAATGTAAAGAATAAGTGATAATTTAATTTTACTGATCAGACAAACAATTTATGTGTTGCCTATGTGTTACCTTCACCATTTATTGACAGATGGAGGAGATTTAAATTATTTTCTGTGTGCTTTTGAAGAATACAGTACAAGGAATACTCCAAACAGATTCTTATACAAGTGTTTATTCTGTACCACACAGAGTAGGATAAAATGTATATCATGAGCAGAGCAACAACAAGGTTTTGCAGCACCATTTGGTCAGAGTACGCTTGCTTTATCATATATTGCACTTGTATACATAAACTTAGTGGAATGGAGGTCAGTGCTGAGCATAGCAAACAATTTGGATTCATGTTGACATACAGTACTTGGTTGTGGTTGTGTGGACCAAGGAAGGACAAACAACTTAGAAAAGGGTTTTTGTTAATAGAGGGTGTAAAAAGGTGCAGTTGCGCAGCAATTGTAACAATGCAGAACAGAATGTGAGTTTGAGCAAGGGAACACTCCAAAGTGCTGTAAATATTGTAGTCATGTTATTATTTGACTACAATAGGTATCGAAGAAAGTACAGTACATCACAGTAAATACTAATGCATTAATAATAAATTGACATCATTTTTTATAGATTGGCAAAAATTGCAGCACAATGCAATTACTTAGCACAAATAAAAGCTCAAGGTGCTTGGCCTTCTTCAAAATACTTTTTCAGCAACAAAAACAAAAAACGGGTTGGAAAGAATCTTCAAAGACAAAGAACCTATGTAACTCAAATTTCTGGAAGCCTTTGGTCCATTATTTTGCAGACCCATCAGGAAAGCAAAAAGCAAATAAAAATATAATTTTACGTTTTCAAAAATAAAGTGAGTGAGCAGTTGGGCAAATTAACCCTTGCCTCCAAGTACGACATCCTGTCCACTCATTTAACCCCGAGTCCATCAAATCACCTATTTCAATTTCCTGTAGTTCTTAATTTACCCGCGAAAATGAAAACTTTCTTAATAATTTTTTTTTTCCGGGGCCATTGTAGTTTGAAGAGGTTCACCTGTGCGATAAAATCTTGTTACAACAAAGTCCCGAAGACCCATGAGCAAAATTTTGTGCGAGACTCGTGGTTTTCATAACTTTTTTTTTAGAAATGGAAAGAGGTGATAAAATTGTGTGTGTTGATGTTTCCATAATTATTCATCCTTTACAAATCGGTTTGATGAATTAGTGTGGAAAGATTGTGGTGAGGAAATGTATAGCCTCGGTTCCTCGCCTTTCAAATAGTAATTTTTCGTGTAAACCTTATGTTCATGGTAGAAAAAAAAATTGAGGCACCCATTCGAATCCCGGAGTATCTCAAAATGTGGGAATGAATGCTGCATTTTCGACGAATACGTTTCAGTATATGAGAGTCTGCGAACAATGTGTGCATCTTCCGCATGTCTGCAATTTGATGCCTTCATGTTTTCATATGGGGCGAGCGTATTTTATAACGTGATTGCGTCGCGAAAATTAACAAAACAATTCCGTTTCACGCTTCAGACTCGCCTCAATCCCGGTGACCCACTTCAGCCACGGTAATTGGGTATCATCTCCTTTCCCCTCCCCTCTTTCTGATTACACTGACGAGGATGATGGGATTACGGCTCTACCATCATCACATCGTTATTACCGGGCTTATGCTGGAAGCTCATCATTTGAGACTCTGAAAGGGATGATCTCGCTTTTGTGCCAATATTTCCAGGTTTTCTTTTAATTGGCCTTCAACTTTGATGAATGAAGTACAGTTAAATTCCATTACAGTACATGGAAACGTTTCATGACGGTTTTTATGTTTTATTTATGGTCCATGCAATGACTACACAAGAACAGTGCAATGACAATTTTGTTTCAACAAACTCGAGGAACTCATTCAAGTACAGAATGAATGAATGAACAGAACACTTTCTTTGCCGCTTTTCAGCATTCACAAGAAGGTTTAATCAAGATTTCAGCATCCAAACCCCCTTCCCACCCAACCCAAATCCAATCTAATACATTAATCACTTCAGAGCAGGAAGCAGAGCACAAATTAATAACAAAAATAAAAGAAAATACAATCCACAAAATGCAACTGGACATCTGACATGTATGCATACACCCATTCATTCCCTGACATTGGAAACAAAATGTATGTGAACATTTTTACATATAAAAAAACACCCGCATTTGAAGTTGGACGTGAAATGAACCTACATTTAATTATTTTACATTTTTTCCATGAAAGTGTTGATACAACTGGTCCAAAATTTTCTATTCTATGTGAGCACATCAAAATTTTTTTGAAAAATGTGTACCCGCCTATGACGCGTATTCCTGTTTTTCCTCTCAATAGTAAGAGAAAAAAAGGTGTGCGTGGCATTCATCTAAATACAGTAGTATATAATTTGTGCATCATCAAACTAGAAGTGCTAGATTTTCTAGCATTTTAGAAAGTATGAAACGTGATGCTCTTAATACACTTCATTTCCTCTCAGAATTTAGAAATGATCTTATTGATAAGCAGTGTGTTTTTAAGGATGCTTCTGTATCTCAAAAACCATCCAGTAGTCAACAAGTAAATGCTTTTATTTTCTGTGTATTTTTTTTTTTATATTTTACTTCTTACTTCAGTAAAATAATGCATGCCTAATGAATTTGAGAGGGAAAAAAGTCTAGAATTTGAGAATCGTGCTTTAAATTTTGAAATTGTCTCCAGTATTTCATTGAAAAGAGTTTGGAATGATGACAATTCTTCATATATTCGTCGCAGTGAGAGCAATTCGTAGCATTTTTTGAATCTATTATTCGCTAAATTCTTGTCCCATTGCTCCAAGAAACATGAATTTGATACTGTAGTAACGAATTTCTTGTAAATAAGTTTTTTAAATTATAATACCTGGGATTTCGTTGTACCAATATTTTACTGCATATTTTTATGGTTATTAATTTATTTTTTATGGTTATTAATTTATTTTTTATAATTATTAATTTATTTTTTATGGTTATTAATTTATTTTTATGGTTATTAATTTATTTTTGATTGTTATTAATTTATTCCTGATACTTATCAATTTATTTTTGATGGTTATCAATTTATTTTCGATGGTTATCAATTTATTTTTGATGGCTATTTTATTTATTCCTTATTTTTGCAGAGCCATGCGGAACAGAGGCTGTGAAGTGCATTTGCCGAGTGTGGAGACTCGGATGGACCATATGGATACGAAGGCGATTTTCTCTTCACTCCGAATCGAGTCCCATGAGACGCAAACCCGGATCTTTGGACTGCACTCGGAACTAGTCTCTCGCCTACCATGTGAGTCAACCTTTTGCAGCAAGAGAGAGAGAGAGAAAAGGGCAGATTTCATGGGATATATATGGGGGTTTCATGTCCTTTGTGGGATATGCGTGGAAATGTTGCTCATCTTTCGCAGATGAGCTTATTCGTATAGTCTTTCACTCCCCTTTTTAGAGCTTTCCTTGCTGCCCTGAATGGTTGAATTCCTGTTCGAAAGTTCTGCTTATGCTTTAGAATTTTGTGAGCAATTGCTCGTGAAAGTAAAATACAGTACACGTACAGTACTTGCTTTCAAATTTAGTGAGCGTTGAAGGAATTTGTCAAGTTCCCCGTTTGTGATCACTCTACAGTAATACTGTAATTTGATTATTTCGGGTTCAACCCGTACAATGCTCGACTTAATTTTCTTATCTGGCTCTGACTTGAAATAAAATGTCAATGGAATAGGAAAATTATTAATTATGTTTTCTTTTTTTTTTGTCCACGACTCGATCCTTGAAGAACGTATACGATTCGTCTTATGGAGAATTATTAACAGCTGCATTTCCTACGCTGTCGTAGAATTTTCAAGAAATTCCATGAAACCCTTTTCCGAGCCCGTTTACCCATCCCCCTTTCACGAAACGTTCGGGGTTTGTGTAGAAAATTTTCTTAAAATGTATCTCGTGTCTTCATGTTTATTCCCGGGTGTGAGTACATCAGTATTTTAGAAAATATCAGTATGTACAAGACAAGGTCAAACTTTCGAATGAACAGTGCCCCATGGACTTCTGAAATTCGTGTTTGTGAGCACGGACAGTATTTTTTTCTCGGATCGAACCGTGCTTCTTCTTTCAATTATTTTCCAAAGAATAAAAATTCAATGATTGTTATGATGTTTGGAACTCGAGCCTCCCTATGTCGAATTTTTTTTCCCAAGTCCACGTGTGTGAGTCCCTTAGAAACAAAGCTTGAAAAAACTTCCTTAACTCGAATTTATCTGTGTGCATTTTGGCTATTATTTTATCGACACAAGATAGAGAAAATTAATAAGTATCAACTTTCTGCATTTTGAAAGAATGTGGAAGACTATTGTGGGCAAATGAACCCTTGCCTCCAAGTTCAGCCATCCTGTGAAGCGATTCAAGGCTCAAAATACCACCGATTACAATTTTTTTGCAATTCCTCTTCCACCTCAGCAACTCGAATGTTTTTTTTTGTATATTTTTTTTTGCTGGTTCTGGAATTTCGACTTGGATTTGTTCGACTGCAATTCATTATTTATGACGGTATTTGTTTGTGACATTGTCTCGTCTCCAGTTTACGTGCGTCCGACTGTGTTTGACCTGGTGCACGCGGCGGCGCTGACCGGAAAGCAGGTCGGGGTCGGGATCCCAGTGGACAAGGCACTGGAGAAGAGCTGTCGAGACGTGTATTGGAATGCCGTGGCCTCGCTGGGGGACGGGAGTCTCAAGGAGATTGTCGGGGATGCCATTCGGAACTGGGTGCGGTCGGATGATCTGATGGTTCCCGTCGGACACCAACAACTGCTGAGTCTGCGATTCTCGCCGAATGTTCGAGACTTGTTTCGGGACCCGGAATTGGCTTGTGTGCGAAGAGACGCGATGGCCATTCATTTGGTCCTTACTGCTCTGGGAATGGACGCTGGCGTTTCCCACGGTACGTACGGCTTTGGGATGGATGGGTGTCCTATATAGGAAGAGAGTGTACAGTGCTGTACTGTAATGTTCGACAGTTGTTGTTTGACTTGTTCTCAATCACTTTACAATAATGCTTCGACGTACGGTACTGTAGGAGTATTTCGAGGAGTGTATGTGAACCACCGACCCGAGGAATCGAGTTTGCGAAAAAGATAAATTTTAAAAATACTACCACCAGCTTCATTGCATGTTTCAAAACTCTGTTTAAATTACCTGAGGTTTTCCAATTTAAAAATTTAACCCTATTGAGAGAATTTAATATCTTGTACTTTTTCAGCAAAAGCCAAATGGCTGCAGAACCCAGCATCGAAAAATATTCTTAGTGCAGAATCAAAAAATAAACTGTTGTGAAATTACATTTTTTTTATTGCCGCAGGATAAAATTATGACATCATTGATGAAACTTGAATTCCTTTTATAATGCTTAACAGTAAAATTTTGTTACAACAAAGCCATTGGATGGAATCACGAAAAAGCCTCGTTTTAACGAAAAAATCGTTTTGAAAAAATTCAACAGCAGTAAAATTGTTGCTGTTTGGCATTGATTTCAAATTTAATTGAGCAGAAATTAGATTGAATCTGTAACGTTATATTTAAGCTCCAGACTTGAAACGAGAACCGAAATTTTTTTCCATTCCTGGCGCAGTGTTTAAAAGTACAGTAAAATAGTGATAAGCTCAGTGAAATCTCGTTACAACGAAGCCATTGGAACCAGTAAAATACCTTCGTTATAATGTAAAATTCGTTGTGAATAAACTCAATGAATATGTTTTAGCCATTCGGCAGGGACGTAAAAAACTAATTCGTTGCACCTCGATCATTCTTTATTGCGAGACTCTTTATATCGCGAATTAACTGTATTTTTAAAAATATTATGTAAACCGGACTCGTTCCGAGGGTTATTCCAAGCTCTCCGAAGCTTATTTCATGAAACCCCTTTTCGGGACCGGTCAACTCTTTAAAATGGAAATTTATTCAATTGAAAGGAAAGCAGTTGATTTTGGAAGCATTTTTTTTCTCGATCTAACGATATTTGTTCTTTTCTTTTTAGCCGAGCCTGGATTTCTGTGTTCAGGAGAGATCGCAGAAGCGGAAAAGATCCTCTCGGCCCCGAAGAACTTCGTCCTTCCGGCGTTGAAAGCGTTCTTCATGCGACTCGGCGCCGGATCTGGTTTCTCCGGTGCTGTGACAGGAGTGTTTTGCGAGTCTGACGACCGAGTTGTGCGCCAAGTCGTCGGTGTCGGACACGCTTCGAGCCTTTCGGAAATGTTTGCGCAATTTTCTCGTTCCGTATTGGCGAGACTGGGTTTTGCGGGTGACGACGGTGGAGTGACCGGCGCGAGAAGGATTGACCAGCGCTGGGATGACGTTGGTCATTGTGTCGATGCGAAGCTGGTTGCTGTGTCGGAGCTTTTTCAAGCCAGCGTCGAAGCATTTTTCGTCGACCACTTGAGAAACCTGGATCCTCTTTTGGGGGAAACTTTGTCGAAACAAGGTTCGGACGAGAGAGGCGAAGAATTTATGGGTTTTTTACTTTTTTTTTTACTTGCGACTTTCGAGATTCGCCTCACTTTTTTTTAAGGTTTCTCGTGGTTAGAACAATTTTTATATAATGTGAGGCAGGCTGAGCTATAGTTTAGTGAAGTTCTTACTAGTCGGTCGATTGATTCAGGCGACATCTCTATGACGTATTTCAAACTACAGTTGGGTGTTCTAGTTGAACCTCAATAACTCAAACATCCTCATGTCGAATGTTTGTTTTCAACTCCCTATCTGAATTCCTTCAGAAACATTGCATCAAAGACCTTCCTAACTCATATGTTTTCCTCCTCAAACCTCTGTAATTCGAATGTTCTGCAGGTATTTTTGCCTAATACAGTATTTTATTCACAGACAAGAGGAAATCAATAAAAATGTAATTTGATACGCTTTAAACGAAAAGGAAAGACTATTTGGGTAAACGAACCCTTGCCTCCTATTCAGTGTTCAGTCAATTCGTTTAAGAATAAATGCAAGTCCCAGAATATTCTCAATTACAGTTTCATGTAATCCTTCTTTCTTTTTCCGAAGAAAAATGCTTTTTTCCGTGACTCGAAACCTTTTTAACTAGAATTTTCTGGTCCCTTGAAGAGGTTCGGCTGTACAGTTTTTGAAATGCTGAATGCATTTTTATACGTAGAAGTTGAAGATCGATTAGTTTCGTTAATTATTATTTATTTTTTTTTGGTCAAGGAATTTAGAGATTTTAGATGAACTCTAGAATTGTAGATGACGTTTTATGAACTGCAGTAGGTGGTATTTTATAATGGAGCATAATACATTTTCTCAAGTTTGGACTATGTTTTGAAACAATATCGCTTTTTTTGGTATTGTTTCAGGCAATTTCGTGTTGCAGTTGAAGCACCCGTCAGTGCAACACTTTCGCCCAACTTTGAAAAAGTTGCTGGAGAATTTAACACTGCATTTGGAAACGAGAAAATGCGTCAAGATACGTTTAGATGATTTGCATGACAGGGTAACGACCGGGTTGTTTTATTACCGGGTGTTCCTCCGGTTTTTGAATGCGGGCCCGTCGACATTGTTTGGGTCTGTTGCTGCTACGAAATTTGTGCTGCCGTTGCTCAAGTTGCATTGGACCTGGTTGATGAAGTTCTTCGTGGAACCGTTGGAAAGCATCGGTTTGAAATTGTGAGTTCTTGCTAGTTTTTGTATATATCAAGCATTTTTTGAAATGGAAGACCACAGGGAAAAGTTTTTCTTTATGGATGTTTGTCTCAAGTTGTGACTTCCACGTTTTATTTGGTACCCGGTGTTTTTCGTCCGAGACAAATTGTTAACGTAATTTATGAGTAATACTCGATGTTCATTGCAGCTGTGAGATGTGACGTTCTACGGTTTATTTCGATTAATGAAAACGCAAAAAAAATTGGAATCTTTTTTATGGATAATCTTTTTTAAATACTGTACTGTATTTTGACTCTTTTGCTCCAAAGACGTATCTGAAAATATTGCCATCCTTCTGAATGTTTCAATTTAAATAAGATTTTCCAATGATATGAGACAAGCGTAGAACGTGGTTTGTTGATGAGAAATCTTGAAGTACCGTGCAGTACTTTTATTTCGAATTTATTCCGCGTAATTTGATCAGAACGTCAAAAATTGCTTTGGCGTATGGTAGGTGATTGACATTGGAATAAATTGTGCAGATGGAATTTTCTGGACAGTCTTTCGAAATGTCAAATGTCCCATCAATTCTCGGTCTTCGTTTCTTCTTTTTTTTTTTTTAAGAGTACTGCGTGTCTGTTTTCCGGTTGAGGGCTGCTTCATGGCCTCGCATGTCACAGTTTTCCATGATCCCTTTGCCGAAGGATTTTTGGAAAAAAGTTGGTCTAAAGATCGTTGTATTTTTCGTTTCGTTTTTCAATAGGAATGTCCCCGGAGTTGAGAAGATCTCCAAGCTATTGGGGATCGACGGATCGGGAATTGAACGGGAAAAAGTTGCGAAGCGATTCCGGGATTTGTTGCCGGGCCCGAGTTTCACTCTCGATGCATCCGCTGGGGCTCGTCTCGACTCCAGAGTGCGGTGAGTAGATCCCTTCACATACACGCACACAAAAAATAGAAAGTGCAGTTTCCTCGTCATAGTATTTCAGTATTTTCTTTCACGGAATTTTTCTTCTTGATCTTCTCAATTTATCGCCGGCAGAAGAAGAGGGAATTTAAACCGGATGACGGAGTTTTGAAGTACATATTTAATTTTATCATTCGCGAAAAAGGACTTTTTTTTCGAACGTTGGCAATTTTTTTTTTTTTCGTTTATTTATTCGTGATTTCTTGGGAATTATCTTTGTTCCATTTAATGGTTTTGGAAGGTTTATTTTAAATTCAGAGCATATTAATTCAAGGCAGAGGATTTCCGAAAAAATACTGCAAACTATTTAGGAAGGGGTTAGTCCATTAGTCAAGATGCATGGTTTGTTGTAAATCTTGAATTTAATTCATAATTTATTGATATCGGTGGTAAATTCCCTTAGGTGTTCTTGAGGAAATTCTTCAGGGGGAAACTTTTTATTCATGCTCGTCAGTCAATAAACTTTTTCTTGTGTTTCGATTAAATCCTGTTTATGATACGGTGAAGATCGGAAAACCCTGGTAGGGAAATAAATCTGGAGAAATCATCCAATAACCCCAATTGTCTGAACCATTTCGAAATTGAGGAAAGATCCAGTGATTGAATGAGCTTCAATTAATCTTTTTCAACGACTCCAGTTTAATTTTTTTTTATTTCAACAACTACAGTAATTCTGTTTCCAGTCAAGAATTTTCGCGGCTCTGTCCGCATGTCGGAACAGTTCAGTTTCGTGTCCGCGTGACAAGGCCTTCGTTATGCGGAGTCTTGCTGTAATCGCTGAAGATTCGCTGTTAGTTCTCATGAATTTAGCATAATTTCGGCAAAGATTCTTTTTTGAAATTTTCAAATCCTCACGCTGGGCATATGTGTACTGTATCTATCAGGAACGAAAAATATTTACTGGGGACTATTATAATTCCGAGAAGTTTAACAATGCGTCGGTTATTGTGAAACGAAATTTCCTTGAAACGAGCCGATTTTTTCTGCTTTTTGTTTTCGAAAATCGATTGCAAATAGATTGGGTTCCCACTGTTTGTTTGTTTGTTTTTTTACCCCGGCATAAATGTTTTATTTTCCTTCGTGAATACAGTAATTTATTGAAACAGTAAATATGATCTTTTCGGGTCTATTTTGATCCGCGAAAGCTCATACAAAGACAAATAATAACTTCAAAGTCGTTGAAACAATCCGATTTGATTTTTCTAATGCAACACCGATGTCCTGAAATATTGTACAGTTTATGGTTTTCGTGATTCTTCTTTAAATGACCGTCAATGTCTGCTGAATTTCTTTGTAGGCTGGCCAAGGTTTTGAGACCGTTCCCGATTCCTCGTGTTTCCGGTGGTGCCAGTCGTGGTACTCAAACACCTTTCGACGATGGTCTTCTCAAAAAATGGTTCCTGAAACTAGAAAAGTTGTGCAATGCTGGTGGGGATACGGCTGAAATGCTGGCTTTCGTCTGCGGCAAACATTTTCTTCCAGGTACAGTAATTCCTACTACATCGACTACATTATTAATCCACATTATTAATATGTGCTGTTCATTTTCGGTCTTCTTGAAAGAAGGTGCAATTTCATGACTCAACTAATTGTTTGAATGGAAACTTTTCGTGTGTTGGTTTTTATTCTTCGAAGTTTGGAAGACCAGTAGTAAACCCCAGTACCCACTGTGCAGTATATCTGGAACATAAGTAATTAGACCATCAAAGTATTTTTCTTTTAAATTTGTTGGGTCATTTGCGTTTGTTGTTTCCTCTGTGATTTGCTCTAATTTCTCTTTGTATTCAACTAAATTTAAGAATATTTCAAAGGTACAGTCCTCCACATTATTTTTTCGGGGTAGGTTTAGTGGCATTTTGAAAATCAGATGGAAATTGGGGTTATATATATTATTAGGGTAGGTCCATGATGTACGATTCAGGCGACACCTGTGTGAAATCCGTGGAAGCTCTTTTGTTCTCGCATTATGGCGTTCAGAAAATCACGCTACGGGATTATTGTTTTTTAACATCGTTAATTTGTTAGTTACCGTATTTACTCAATTATCACACATCGTCAAGTAGGATGTTACTTCCAGATTTATCAGCCTAAAATTTTAATGAAGTCCCATCCCTGAGCAAGACGCGTGCCACATTTTTAGTGATTGAAAAACTGCAATATTTCAATCAAACAGCAGACGCAAGAATTCAAGTTTGAACTTGAATTCAATTCATTTTAAATTGTCTCGATTTGAAAATGTTTACTGTTCGAATTGACCAAAAATCGAGAATTGTCTCATTAGAATTGGATGTGACGAGCAACTAAAATTTCAACATTTTTCAAAAGTTTTATTCCCACGTTTGATGCGCATCTTTTTTCATATACAGTACTGTACATTTTGAGAAAAAGGTGCCTTTAGTACCCGAATAAATACGGTAATCTTGTGCTATCTACTTCCTGTGAGATTTGAGTTATCCCTGAGAAATTCATGAAAATATTGGACGTTTCGTGCTAATTTTTGGAAATGACTGCCGTACAGTACTTTTCTTACCATATAGGATGCAATTAAATTACGCTGCATAAATTGCGTTCGGGGGTGTTCCTTTGCTCATTTGCTGTTGATTTGGGAAGCACATTAAACATTAATTCAAGGAATGCTCACTAAACATTTTCGCCAAGTTTTTCTCGCGAGAAGATCGTTCAGTTTTTTTTTTTCTTTTACAAGACTTCAGCAGTCAGCACTAAAATGACGTTTCCTTTTCCTCGCAGCTGAAGTTGAAGCCATGTGTGACGAGTCGAAGATGAGCGAGATGTTTGTGGGCAAGGATTCGTCGTCGACGGATGAGTTCCGGTTCGACGTGGCCTTGTGGCCGTTGTTGGACAAGATGTTGTCATTACGAATGCTGGACGCGGACGGGGTTTCCTCCGGGGTCCGGGTCTGGTCGCCGGTGGAATTGAGGAACGCCGTGTGGTCAGACTTTGAGCCGGGATTAATTTCCGGGGCGTTCGAGGGCGACCTGGACGCCTGGGTCCGAATTGCTAACGGGCGACTTCGACCGGAAGTGAGTCTTGCCTCTTTTTTTTTTATTTCGAAGGACGTTGTCTTTTTTTTTTTGCGAAGCGTGAAAGCTTTTCTTATGATTTTCCTTAAATTTGGTTCCGCAAAACGACAAGTTATAATTTTTAATCATACTGGAGAAGCGAACTCGCGGTTTTGTTTGGAAATTTGCGCATAAGCGTTTTGATCTCTGGGTGCTTTGAATTCAATGGAGCTTTTCAATACTTTTTTAATAACATTTTTGAACAACCCTGAATTGGTCAAACGAGAGCAAAGTTTATTTTCTTCTCAATCGTTGAGGTCCTTGGAATTTTTCATTTTATTCTGAGAAGATACAGTGAACGCTTGAGCTGATGTGAGGCATGCGCCTTAATTTTTGAGACGCAAGTTTCAGGTAAAATCAATGTGCGGAAGACGTGGACTTCAATTTTCTGTGACACGAAAATCAATTTATTTTAGGAAATGAAAATTTAAATTTAAACTGAGCAAATTTGTATGCAACTGCGCTGAATTAGTTCGTGTTTCACGTTTTCATCTGCCAGTTTGATTTGAATCTCAAGATATAATTTTCACGCATTCTAGCCTTTAAAATTGTATTTCACGAAACTTCACTAGATGTGTATGACGCGCAAGAATATTTTTATGAATTTGCAAAAAAAAAAAGAGTATGAATAGCACCCCACTTCTTTAGCTTAATTTTTTAGGGGAAAAATATTTCTCGAGTTCATACGAGTAATTCAACAGGCATTTGATTCAATTGTACCTTGATGTAGCTCTCAGTAAAAAAAAAAAAAAAAGAGAGAAAAAACCGCGATGTCCCCTTTAAAGTACTATACAAGAATTAGCTAATGTACAGGAGAAATTTCGGAGGTTTTTCCTTCTAGCCTACTTAAATGGAAAATTGTCTTTTTTCCCCGTGCTTTCGAAATTCACGCTGAACTCGATTCTTTATTTTCTATCATATTGTCAAGTCCAGAAATTTACTTGCGCAAGAAAAATTGAAAAATCTGGGGATATTACGGAATCAGTAATGGAGATGGAGACGGAACTTCTGATGCATTTTGAAGATGACGTGAGATGCACTTATGAGTTCTAGTTCAACAACGCAGCATTTCATTTTTTTTTTTTTAGAAAATACGGAAAGTTTTTGAGGAGAAACTTTTTACAATGAGGTGAAAGCATGAGTAATTTTCCTTGCAAAATAAAAAGTTTTGATGCCATTTTTCATAAAGATACCGAAGCAAACTTCATGAAATTTCAAACAGGTGTCGCCGGAGTCACTAACATGATCATGTACAGTAATTTAATTGCAACTGCAGTATTACACCGTGTTCCGTGTATCCAAGCTTATATAACCTAACCTCACATGCTCTTATGTCTGGCGAAGTACAGTTGAACCTTGATAACCTGAACCTCCTCAAGTCAAAAACCTCCCGAAGTATTTTTTTCCCCAAGTCCCTGTCAGAAATCCATTGAAAACAATGCATTGAATTTATAAAAACCACCTTACCACAAAGGCTTTCCTCCTCAAATCTCCATCCCTCGAATTTTCTGGAGGCCTTCTGGCAATTATTTTATTAACACACGAAAGAGAAAAGCAATGAAAATGTAACGTGATGCGTTTTGAACGGACATGAAAGATTAATTGGTCAAATAAACCCTTGCCTCCAAGTTTCGCATCCTGTCAGGCTGTCAACTCATTTAAAAAGCAATTTTAGGCCCAGAATACTACCAATTACAATTTCCTGTATTTCTTCTTTCCCCCAAAATGCTTGTTTCCTTGACTCGAATTTTGTTGCTGGTCCCTTGAAGTTCGATTCAAAGAGGTTCAAGTGTACAACACCGTGTGAGCGAAATTTGCGAAGAAATTAATGAATTCGAATACCTTCTTGGATGTCGGTGAATAGTATGCGAAAATGTTTCGTTTTTTCTTGATGTTTGTGTTGTTTTGGACTTGGCCTGAAGTGAGAAACTATAGTGAGACCCCCCCCCCCACATGCGGACACCTCGAACTGCGGACAATTCGACATAGGGACACTTATTTTCCCATAAAAAAATTATTAAAATAGGCCTGACATGAGGACACTGACTCGACATAGGGACTTTTTTGTATAACATTGCAAATGCATTTCAGGTCAAACTACAAGAAACAGAATTTTCAAACCTTAAAACTGATGTAAGAAAAGTTATTGGGTATTTCTCTCACCAATTTACCATCCATTTAGCTAATTAAAAAAAATTACCTCCAGCAGAGAGGGACTTCCTTCTCTTTTTTTCACTTGAATGTTAATTTTACAGCCAACATTTCTATGTTCTGTACAGAGGTACAGTATCAGTATTCAATTCCCCAAATGCCCATATTGTGTTGAAATTAGTATTTTGTCCTTAAAACGCCCATTGAAAATTATAAAATGTAAGTATAAGGGAAAATGAGACTCGAGTTAGGGACACTCCTGATGCACCAATTACGTCCGCATCTCGGGGTCTCACTGTATGCGATAGTTTCAACAGCCATCGTACAAGCTAATGCCGATCGAACGGCTTCCAGATGATCTTGAATCATTATAATTTTAAATTTTAGGTAATTTAAAGCGTAGATGATGAGGCTCGATTGTATATTTAGAAGAGAAATCCCTCTTGTCATCTTGGTTCCCATCGAAAATTGTTCGGAAAATGAAATAAATTTGCCTGTGTTTCTCTTCTCTCTTTTTTTTTTCATGAAGGTTAACGTTGGACTGCGAGGCGGTGCTGTGACGTATTGCGTGACAATGACGCAATGCCCGCCGCCGGAAAGTGTGCCGACGAAAGAGTCGGACAAGGCGAGGTATTCTCCGGTCGGCGGCAATCTTCCGGCTGACGTGTCACTCGGTGACCTGGCCCGGAAGTCGGGTCAGCTGGAAGCCGTCGCGAGTGCGTTATGGCGGAATGGAGCGGAAATTGTGCGGAGAACCCGGGAAGCGAGGTGCGCTTGAAATTATTACTTCCTTTGATTCTTTT